ACTTTGAAGATATCAATATGTAATAGAACAAGCATTGCTAATTCCCCACCACTCTGTTTGTAACTCTGTACTGTCTGTACTGTTCCTTTGCTATTTTGTAAAATGTCGACTGTCTGTTAATATTTTCCTCCTTTTATTTTTAAAATAAAAAAAAATAAAAGGAAGTGGAATTTGCTGCCTCTCTGTATAATAATGCCATAGACTTTTAAAAGGCTATTTTTAATATCAAGCAATTAAAAGGTGGCACCTTGACTGGGAAAGCCCTGAATTTCACACTGGCACTCATGAAGGAGGGAAAGAAGGACAGGAAAAGTGAAGTTCTCTGCTTCCTCATTGTATTGACTGATGTTAAGTCCCAGGACAGTGTCCTGGAGTCTGCAGCAAGACTAAAGGCTGAACAAGTTATTATTCATGCAGTTGGCATTGGAGAGGCTAACAAAACACAGCTGCTGCAAATAGCTGGGAAAGAAAACAGGGTTAACTTTGGGCAGAACTTTGATTCCTTAAAAAGTATAAAAAAGGATGTGATTTGCAGCATCTGCACTAAAAAAGGTAAGCAACAGCAAGAGGAAAGGCTTTATTCTCCCCATTTCACCAGTGGTTTCAGGTAGATAAATGGCCTGGCTGAGAGACAAGGTGTGATGTGACCAGCTGTCTAGCCAACAGTTTGCTAATCTCCTTGGTCACCATGGAGAGTGTCAGCTTCTCACTTGAAATCAGTCACCAGGACTGAAGAGCCCTCTGTGGAGACCTGTGCTGAGGCTCCCTGGGAGCCTACAAGTAGGAAGGGCGCCAAGAGTGCTGTGGCCTTAAGAAGAGGCCACAGCTGTGAAGTGGGAAAGATGCTGTTCTATGTGCAAGTGTGTGTGTGGGGGGGGGGTGCCCTGAATGAGCTACTGATTCCCTGCCTGGGTTTCTTTGTTGGCTTACTGTGAAGCATAATGGAGATAACACATGTGGAATCCATAGGGGAGAACCTGGCAATAAGTGCTACATAAAAGCCATTGCAGGGGGTGTAAGTGTTCATTGATGAGATGAGTAGAGTCCTTCTGATACAGGAAAATAAAAACTCCCAACCTGAATGATATCTGGGGTGAGTTCATGTTTTCTAAAATCAAAGAATGAATTTTAGGAACATGGAGGTTGTTATGGTTTATGTCTGTGTGTCCCCCCCAATGCCTCATGCAGACATGGGGCAGGCTTTTAGAGTTTGAATATGGG